TTAACACAAATTTTAGATTGTAACTCATTTTCTACTATGGGGATATATTGTTCATGATTATGATAAAATACCTAGTTTTAATCCTTTTTTTTATAGTAATTATCATTTTTAATATATATATATATANTAGATCATATCGCTGGTTCAAAACTAAAACGAAACTTCTGAAACGTATTATGTTTGCAAAAGTGTCGTTTTAATTTTGAACCAGTGATATATATATATATTAATTATAATATATATATTAATATATATTAGCAATCAATTTTATATTAATTATCAATGCTACTCCATTTTGGGAGGCCATATAAAACTACCAAGCTAATATAAATGCTGGTGATGTTTAATTAACTGTGGTAACAGATACCTAATGTAAGTACTTTTTGAATAGATTTTAACCCCAAAAAGAAAATTAACTATTTATCTAAAACTTACAGCCTTTTTCATTAAAACAAAAAGTTAACACAGCCATTTTTTATTAAACAAAAAGTTTAACAAATTTTAATACATTTCTAATTAGTAGCTTAATAACTTTTAGATCAAATAATTATTATTTAATACATTTCTAGATTATTTTTAGACCCTGTGGCAGAATCCTGGTGACACGGCGACATTGTAGCAGAATGACACAGATTTCTTGCAGAAAGATTTTTTCTTTGGGAAGTAAAAAACTTTAGTTTCATTTTCTGCAGAAATTTTCAAAAGATTTTTTCTTTTCTTCAGAATTATATTAAAGAGATGCTTTTCTCGCTAATCGGAGTGGGGGGAAAAAATGCTTCTGATTTCTCTGTTCTCATTTGAGAATAATGAAAAATAAAGAGTAATGAAGTAAAAAGTTTTGGTTTTCTTTTCGGCAGAATTTTTCGTTCTATTTTTTTACTATTGATTTCCACATAGCTTAAAATCAAATATTTTTAATACTGTATTATTTATTACAACTGAATCACAAAATGAAAACATGCATTTAGCAACCCCCTTTTTGAAGAGTACAATTTGCATGATTTTGCAGTCAATCTTTTTTTTTTTTTCGGTAGTTATTGATAAAGATTTTCCAATTCTTTTGAATGTGATAATGATTTACAAAAGATGAAAAAAGAATAATTAGTGTCTTTTCCTCCAACAAAATGAGGGAATATCGACATAACATAAGAAAAAAAAATATTACATATTCAATTAAAAAGGTTTTTTTTTCTTTGTAGTTGACGCTTTTGTTACTTTAAATTAGTAACATGTATATTTGTTATTTTTAAAAGTACTTTGCAGAAAGATATTAGTATTATAGAGGTATGTCACAGAAAGCCCGAAAAAAATCTGCCACAGGGTTTTCAGCATTATGCCCATCATGAATTTTACATGTAATACTGTATTTTTTTTCTTAAATCTTCAAATTTTTAGCAATTCATACATAAAATGTTTGCGCTCTCTATTAAAATTCAAAATATTCTACAGAGTTTTGAAAAATTAAAAAATGCCAATGTACACCAAAATAGGAACTGGGGAAACTACAATTAACGATTTCACTATTCTGTATCCTTTTTCACTAATCCATTCATCACAATAAAAATCTTTAGTAACTATTTTAAAACTTACTGAACAAAAAAAAATTATGTAATTGCCAATGAAAAAAAGAAAAGAAAAGAAAAAAGAATTTATAACAAATTACGACAGTTTCTGAAACGTTGGCAGGCCATCGCCCTGTTTTTAGTTTCATATTCTTACCAAGGAAAAATACTTAACTATTGTACCATAAATTTTCAGATTTTTTAACATATTTTTGCCATTTATGTTCGTAAGGCAATCATTTGTAGTTTTTTTTTATCTTTTTTTGTTGGTGACTCACTACAGATGCAGTAGTACAACAAAACTTTAACTCAAAGAAACTTTCAAAAAAATATTTTCAATTTTAAGATCATTCATAAAATAAAGAGCATCACACAAGAATTGAAACAAAAACCATGAATTAACAAAACATATGCAAAGAAGTTGGTACCTCACCAAAAACATAGAAATTAAACTTCTGTGAGCTGACACATGTACAAAACAGAGAAGAACAAAAAAAAATTCTCTTTTACAATCAATTTGATTAAATTAGTTCCACATATTTTTTTTAAATTTAATTCTAATGTAACAGTTTTGATAACTTAATATCTTCTAATAGTCTAAAATACCGAGTTCCCATCTGATTTGGCAACAACTCTATGTTTAATAGTTGCTACCTAAATCAGGTTCAGTAGACTATTATCTTTAAATTTCAAAAAAATAAGGAATTACAAATTTTACTCATCTAATTAACTCAAAGCAATAGTGATAAATACAGGATACCCAGGGCATTTTGGAGAGGGCAACTAACGGCCTCTTAAACTTCTTGCCCAGGAAGGCATGCAGTTGATAACTAACACCAAATTTATATATTTATTATCTTATTGTGAAATTAAAATATTTAAAAAATAAATATTTGGCTAACTTAAAATATTTCATAATAAAAAATTAAAAAATAAGATTTTCAAAAAAATTTAACAGTGAAATTTTAGGTTGTAAAAATTAAAATAATCCTTATATTTAACAAAATTTAATATTTTTTAGAAAAATATTATACATATTTTTTTACAATAGAATAAAATTTAACAACATTTAAATGAATTTAAAGGCATGGACTTTAATTTTTATAGATGTTGCAATAACTTTCTTTTGAATAAATTTGTTTTTTTGTTTTTTTTTGGCTCTACCAGTGATTAAAGTTACCCCTTTCAGTGATTACAGAACCCCTTCAGGAACATATTTTCATAGAATTTACCCAGGACTATCACACACACCCCTGTGTAGACCAAAATAGAATTTTTTATATTTTTTATTTCTGTATTTTATTTAATTAAAGCATGCATTAAAAGTTTAAATGCTTTAACAATTTTTTTTTTTTTTAAATATGTAAATTCTTTCAAAATATATATAAATTTATATGATGTATATAAAATTATATTGAAAAATAAATATTTACATTTTACAACATAATAAATTAAAATACACAAACTGAAATCAGTGATCAGTGTTGAAATTGTTTATTACAAAGAAATGGCAACATAAAAATAAGTCATTTTGTTGCCAACAAAAATTAGCATAAAAATACAGTGGAAAAAAATTCAAGGATGTGCTGTAATTAAGGAGCATGAACATTCATTTTTTTTTTTAAATGTGGGAGATAAATTTCAGAATGATGATTGGCCATAAAATGACCTTAAGCACTAATTAATATTTATTTTCATCATATTTTTTGTATCCTAAAAGTTTATCTTGGCTTGAAAAATAATTCTCTGTGTATTTATGGGGGGAAATATGCTCTGAGTCACAGAGCATATTCGAAGATAGCTTTAATTAATATTCATTTAAGTACTGATTCAAATTTTTTGAGTCAGTCTCTTTTCTTTAAATTTTAATTTTTATGAATGGTCTTTAAATCAACCTAAGTTCTTTTCAAGTTTCTGATATTATTTTAGTACAAATTTCATTACATACAGTCACACATAGCTAGTTTCTTAAAAGTACATTTTATAATTTAATATGTGAAAATATACAGCGTATTTACTACATATACAATAAAAATTAGCAAAATATCAGAGTCCAATTATGATCAGGCATACTATTAAGTTTAAGTGTTGTTTAATAAGGCCCTTAATAAGGACATTTTAAAGAGTTACATGTTTTTTAATTACATTATAGACAAAATATAACAATAATAAGATACTGTCAAGTTTAAAAAATAATACTGTAAAAATAAATAATTAAAAAAAACAATAAAAATTTTAAAAATTTAATTTGAGTCAATATTCATTTCAATTCAAAACTAAGCTAAAAAAAAATTTGGCATAAAATGGATTTTCTGATAAGGGGGACAAAAAACTGAATATGACTACTTTGCCACTTTTTATCATAATCAGACCTTATTAAAAATCATTGAATACAACTATATTGTCACCATTGGTATCATGAAACATATGCAACTTAAAAGTGCAGTTTTACTAAATCGCTATTAAAATAAACAAAATATGTTGACACCACACATTAACAAATCAAATTAAAACACATATTGCAATAAAAGAAATTAAATTACACATTTTTCTCTCATGCAACCAAATTAAATACAAACAATAAAACATAAATACGTAAGAAATAAAATACAAGTGTCTTTATGATTTTTATTTTAAACTATATAGTGGTTAGCAGATCTAAGATCATCCAGCAATAATAATAAAAAAAATAGAATATTGACAATTGTTGAACCGATAAAAAAAATTCCAATAGTGTTTTAACTTCACATAAATTGAATTAACGGTCAATTGTGAGAGATTTAAAACAGAATTCAGATAATTGATTTAAATTAATATTGCATTAATGATAATAAATTAAATTAGTAATCAACAGAGAATGGATGAAAAAAATATGACAAAAGTAGATCAATTCAAACCACATGAACAAGAATAAGGTTAATTAGGTCCCCGACCCCCCCCCCCCCCAAAAANTATGGGTATGTGGGAACAATTTTCAACTTGACAGTCTCCCGCACAGCCGGAGGTGGACAGAGAGTATCTGGCCGAGAGGCCCAGTGAAGCCCCTCCTTGGCATTTATTTAAAAACATAGTACTATTTTGGCAACAGCCCGGAGGTAATTGGGAAAAATTGTGGCATAACAAGAATAAATTAAATCAACAATATGGCCCATTGTAATCATTTGAAGAGCGCTTAATTGTCGACTATGTCAACCTTCATCTATCAAAAGGTACCTCAACATCGAATCAAGTTAACATGTCTTATATACTAGTGAATTGGTATTTAATATTTGTAGTGGTAGTTACGCCGCAAGTGCATAATGAAATTTAATTTTCTTCAGTATCTCTGAAATAAAAACTTTACCTTTTTAATGAAATGTAAAACAATTCGTAACAATTTAAAAAAAAATGTTTGCAAATATTTCAAACTCTACAAAGTGAAAAATAATAAATTGTTACCTTATAAAAGGGCAGAAGTTCTCGTTCAGAATTTGTCTTTAAAGACGAAATAATGTGGAATTGTCTAAGAAAATGCGACATGTCTCTCTGATTGTAGGTGGGAAATCAATATGCAAATAAAACCACTCTGCAATCAAAAATATTTTTAAAAGGGATTGAAAACTAAATAATAATTAACAAAATACAGTACAGAAATCATCCAAATAAAAATAATAAAAAATAAATATAACACACCCATATATATATTTTAATGCATGCAGTTTTAATTTCTCAACAAGCAGTAAAAAATAATCATGCTCTAAGACATTGAAATTATCAAGATGATAAAAAATCATTGAACAATAGTTATTTTTAATAAATGCTATTTGTGCACAATGGAATCGCTGACAAATTTTATTCGTGTAACTTAATTAGTAACGTATTTATACTCACTTAATGAAGCATATAAATCTTAAGTTTTCTTTTATGACTAGTTAATTAATACATTAATGAAATTATCTAGTGCTATATTATGGTGTCAATGCCTCATTCAACAACACTGATGTTGAAGCATCGACAACCGGTAGATAAACAAAAATGGATTCGCTTTTTATCAATTTTTATGTATGGTGCAAAGAGATAGAGCGTTAAGAAACTCAATGCTTTATTGAAGATATTATATAAATTTATTTCAAAACGTTTTTCTCAGGTAGCGCTGTAAACTCGTGTTCTACCTAAGAGGCTGTTCTCACTGTATCCAATTGACAACGTGACAAGTTCCCAATGCGTAACTACGAGTTTTGGTTCTCACAGAAAAAAATTAAGCCAGAAAGATGGACTAGATATGTACTAGTGTTTAGCACTTAAACTTATTTTAAAGAGGAGAATTGTAGTTCACCTTTAAACAGTTAAAATCTTGAGTGAAGGGTAGGGCCGTAACTACGCCGGGGTAGCAGGGGCACCGCCCCGGGGCCCCGACGGTCAAGGGGGCCCCATATGAAGAGACCACATCAGGTTTTTTTTAAATAAAGTACTCTAATTATATATATGTAGGAAAGAAATTGTGTTAAGATAGAGTTGACGAAAATTTTCTTTTTTGTAATTACGTACCTACTATAACATAAAGGGAAGGGTAAAAAACGGTAAAACACCTTTTTGCGTATTATTTCCCTTTCTCAAAAGAACAAACACGCTTTGCAGAGAAGGGGAAAAGCCACAGCTGCATGTAGTTGAATGCTAACACTTTCTGTATATTGCACTTCTGGTTTACTTAGTTGTTTCCTTTACTATCTAGCGTCAAATCCGGGGGCGTGCCAACCAGGGGGAGGCAGAGGGCCCCTCTAAAATTTAAGTGATGGGCAAGGCCGGATTAACCATTAAGCACACTAAGCACGTGCTTAGGGCACCAGAGGATAGGGGGGCACCACAAAGCCTAACTAAATGTTCGCAGTAAAGTATTATTATTTTTTTTTTTTTTTGAAACATTGATAATAAATTTATTATTTTGAGCTTCCATTTTAAAAGTAGATAACAACCATTTCTAAGTACGAAATTTCACATAATAAAAGAAAAAAAAACAAGAGATGTTTTGTATCAAAAATTTTCAGTCTTATAATGAAATTAGGTAGTGAATTTCTATGCGATAAAAGCTCTATTTATTTATCCATTACAATGATTCCATAACATACTGCTACGATTCATGTTTACAGAATATTTTTCGCAGTTGCAGAAGTTAATACTCCAGAAATTTGATAT